CCATTCACTTCTTTTTATCTTTTTGTATTTTCTTCTTTTAAAACAAAAACTAAAAAATTATGTTTTTGAAGTATTGTTTTTGAATAATCTAATAAAAGGTAGAAAGGTTCATAAATTATCAAAGACAAGAATAAAGACACAACAAATCATTCAAGCTGAAACAAATTAAAATTGATTAAAAATTATTATAATGTTTTGTCTTTCATTTCATTGAATATATCAACAATCATTCTTGCAGTAGGTCTTGATTCCATTTCATCTCTCCAACATTTCTTGGTTATATCATAGATTTTTTTTAGTTCATCGCTTTTTGGAGCATTCCATCTAGGTCTTTCTTTACCTTGAAAAGCTGCTTTAATCATAGACTCAGTTGTAGTTTTAGGGAATGGATCAGTTCCTTTTGATTCACAAATAAACCAGATTACTAGTCCAAGACTATAGATATCTGTTTTAGTAGATACCTCTTTACCAAAAACGATTTCTGGAGCAACCCAACAATCAACAGCTCTATTATGATTATAAGGTGGTTGGTCAATAATTGACATTCCAAAATCACAAATCACAGCTCTTTGGTTTCTAACTAAAATGTTTTTAGGTCTAATATCTAAATGAATATACCCTACTCGATGGATATAAGCTAATCCTTTTGATATGTCTGATAATAACACTGTTGACTCTTTTAATGTTAGTTGACTCTCAATAACATAAGTTTCTAAATCATAAGGAAACCAATCAAGAAATATTGCTTCTGGTGTTGGGGTGATTCCAAATATTGAAACAATGAATTCACATGCACAATTATTAATACACTCAACTTCTTTAACAAAGTCATCTTCATGTTTAAATTTCTTTACTGCAACTTCTTGATTCAAGAGTTTTCCTTTAAACACTTCACCTTGTGCACCTTTAGAAATAAATTTTAAATCCTTTTTGATTTGGTTCCATTGTCTTTCATTTAGTCGAAACATGGTTGGTTGTCTTGAATTTTATAGATTTTTATTATTCATTTGGTTCACAGAATGATTTACTTAAAAAGAAAAGAGAAAAAGTATTTTATTATAAATTATAATAAATTTATTATAATTATAAAAATACAAAATAACAAAGAATAAAAAAATTAAATCAAAATCTTGAAAAAATGAAAAGAATATGAACGCACCCGATTTAAATGAAATTTATGTTATGAAACCAAATGAACAAAAAATTTTGTGTGAAGAAAATGGTCATGTTTGTAAATTTACATTAGTTAAAGAAGACCATACAGCTGGAAATATTCTTCGTGTTATGTTATTAAGAAATCCTCATGTATTATTTGCAGGATATAGACAACCTCATCCATTAAATTATGTTATTGAAATGACTATTAGAACAGATATGACAATAACTCCTAAACAAGCTTTAGAACAAGCAATGGATGATGTTATTCATGAAATAGAAATAATGCAAAATGAATTTGAAGCTGCGTCAGTAGGAATTAATTCATATTAACATTTAATTGATTGTATAACTTTAAAGTATAAAAATATTATTTTATTTGTTTTATATGTAAATTAAAATAAATCTTATTTAATCATCTTTTCTTATTTTACTTTTAGGGAAATATGGATTACTTGGTTTTGGTGGAAGTTCAGGTGCAACTGCTTGATTTAATCTTGTAGTTTCTGATGGATTTTGTGACATTTCTTCTGTAACAATTATCTCTTGTGAATTAGGATTTATTATTTTTTGTTTTTCCATTTCAGCAATTTTATCATTTAAATGAACAATTTGTGTTGATTGATTATTTAATTCTTTCTTTAATGCATCAATTTCATCTTCTAATTAAAATTAATAATTTATTTATTTAGAAGAGTCTTTTTATTTCTTATTAAAAAGAATAAGAATTAACAAACGTTGTTTAACATTTTGATATAATGTTTCTTCTAATACACGATGCATTTTTGTTGATAAGTCTTGTGATACATTTTGTGGTAATCCATCAACTGAATATCCCCTCCATAAATAATTCATAAAACTTGCTCTTTTAGTTTGTTCCTGTTTTTCTTTTTCTAATTGTTCATTACTTTTTACAGTTCCAAAATATAAAATATAATTTTTAACTGTTTCACTCTTCCATACATTTAATTGTTCTGATAACGTACTAACTTGTTCTTTTAATGTTTTATTTTCTTCAACAACAATTCGTTTTTCCATTTGTAATTCACCAATTTTAGCACCAAGTACTTCTAACTCTTTAAGTCCTTCAAAATCTTTTTGTCGTTCTTCTTGTTTAATAATTACTGTCTTTTCTTTTTGTTGCTCATTTTCAAGATCTTTTTGTAATTGTTCAATCTGAGACTTATCACTTTCCAAGATTGCTTCAAGTTCTTGAATACGTTTCTCTTGAGAAGATATTAATGTCTCAAACTTCTTCTTATTTTCATTTGCTTTTGTTGATGCATTCTCTGCTTCTAATGCTCTTACTTTCCATGTTTCTTTAGCTCTGGCTTCTTCTTCTCTTCCTACTCTTTCTTTTAATTCTTTTTCTTCTGCTGCTCGAGCTGCTTTTCTGTTTTCTTCTATCCGTTCTTCAGCTTCAAGTGCTCGTTTAGTTGCTTTTTCAGCTTCAGCTCGTAACTGTTCAATATCACGAGACATTACTTCTGCAAGTCTTTTCTTAACTTGACTAACTTCTGCTTCACATTGTGCAACCTCAACTTTTTTATCACTTTCGATAACCGCAACTTGTTTTTGTAACTTTTCACATTGTATAGACTTCTCTGATAATTGTGAGTCAAGTTCTTTACATTTAGTTGAAACATCTCGTAATTTAGCTTCACTTTCCTCATGCATTCCACGAATATAATCATTTTCTGATTTTAACGAATCTATCTGTAATCTTAACGCATTTCTTTCTTTTCTGAGATCTTCTAATTGTTGTTTCATAACAGTCCTTTCTTTTTTTAAATGAGCAACTTCATCAAATCTTTTCTTAGAAGGTGTATTATTTGTTCCATTTTCTTTTTGTTTAGGTTGAACAGGTGTAATATTTTGTTGGTGTTGTTGACTTTCAGTTGGAGTTGTGGTTGTTTCTGTCTCTTCAGGACTCAGTTGTGGAGTTGGTTTTTGCTCTCCTTCACTCATTTTTTGTTTTTTAAATCTGAAAAGTTTAAAGTTCTTTCTGGTTTCCGAGTTTCTTTATATTAATTGTTGTATATCTCCTAAAACATAATGAAAATCAAAATGAGACAAAGAACCTTTAAAAACAAAAAAGTAAAAAATTGAAAAATTGTAAAAGAAAATTAATGGTTTGAATCAAAAAACAAAAAAACGTTTCAATAAAAATCCTACCAAAAAGAGAAAAAAAGAAAAAGGGTTTTGATATTTATGACAAATAACTAATAAAGAATAATAAATTTTGTTTTTAGAAACTAAAAAATATAAGTATGCAAAACAACGATAAAACTACTGAGTCGAAGATAATTGAGATTAATGTCAACAAATCTATGGACGAGGAGAATAGACAAGACAACGAAAGACATTCTATTGCTCAAAAGGCTATAGAAGAAATTGACTTAAATACACCAACACAACAAGTAGAAGAAGAAATTAAAGAAGAGGAACAACAAAAACATGGAAATGAAATTCCACTAGAACCAATTGAACATGGTTTAAATGAAGATTCTTACATCAATTTTTCACCATTTTGGAAAAAGAAAGATGGGACAAAAATACCTGAAGGTACTAAAGCTGTTCTTAAATTAAATTTCTTGAATGAAGTAACAGAATATCTTAAAGTTAATGAACC